CTATAAACTTTCACTTTTGACATCACACGAGCACTAATTTGTTTTTTACTCCCTTTCAAAATGTAATTTGTTAAACAGTGTAGGCATTAGTTTACAACAAAATATGCTATAGAAAATATGAATCATATGCACGTGCATGTAAACTTTCTACATTGATTTAAACCAACAAAGGCTGCGAACCTTCTCACTCAATATCAATTAGCTATTGATATAAATTTCTATATAGAATGCCTTCTGGCCACGGATGGAACTAATGGAAATTTACACACTTTATATATTAATATGATATATAAATATATATATATATGTACATATATAAAATAAATATATAAATTAAATTTCACTCATGTCAGCAAGAATTTGTACGCTGACAAATTACATGCAAATGTAGGCAAAACAAAAACAACGCAGAAGAAAACAAAAGAGAGCAAAACAAAAGAGAAGTTTTGCCGAAAACAAAGTCAAAGTCGACTATAATGCGATATAGAGTACATTCCAGACTGTAAAGTAGTAAATCTATTTGATGTTTCTGTTTTTCTGTTTGCATTATCAATGTTCACGTGTTGCACGCAGGCGTCGCCCAGCGGGGGACGGTCTCAATTTGAATAAAAAATCGAAGTGTGCTCACGATTACGCAATGAATCAGCCTAATATAATGGTAACAAATAAACGTGTTCTTAGTGCAATTGGTCTTACAATGGATTTAAATGCAGCCGATGGCCGAGTTGCACGAAGTCTCGTAGATCCCCCTGGGAGAGTGGATGGCGCGTATCGCCGTCACTGGCTGTGGCTTTTGCTAGACGCCGTCGATTTGATAGCCGAGAGTAGAGCAGAGGAACACGACCGAGCGCTTGCGTTGCCGGCAACGGAATGAAAAATAATTCAATTATTTTCCACGAGCAGCTTTTTTCTTCTGTGTATTTTTTTTTTTTGTGTTGCAAAAATTTGTCACTTACTCGCGAGGCGCCTAATCGGAGACGTACAACGTGTGATTGTGAGCGTTCTCAGTAGTAAACAAAACGAGGCGCTGAAGAGGGCTGCGGCTGCCTTTGCGGTTGCGTTGGCAACCGCCACGCTAAGAAGATGGTCACAAAAAAAAAAAAGTAAATAAATAATCAAAAGAGAGAAAACAGAAGCCATCAAATGATATGCACATATAGAGTATGGGTATACATAGACACTGAGGTGCATCCGTTTGAATTAGCCTAAATCATTTGATCAATTGTTGTGCCAGCCAACGTATCAATGAATTTTTATCGCGACTGTTTTTTATTCCGAAATACATATTTTAAATTGATTTCAATTCTCAGAATTGAAAACTGAAGTCCATTGTCCCAGCACAGCCCCGAGACAGTTTCATTTTGCACCACAAATTGGTCATGTCCGTTATGATAGCCACACATCAAAGCAGCAGCAGAAGCAGATTCTTTGCCAGACATGGCTACTCATCAAGATGAGTTTGATTGTGGCGCCTTTCTTTGATGAAATGCTTTTTGAGTTTTATTTCGCATACATGTGTGTACTTCATATATGTACATATATTATAATATATTTGATATAATAGTAAATTTTAAGACTTACGTGTTAGTGGAAGATTCAGTTTAGTTATATGTATAATACTTAGAATAAGGCTTGATCGTCGCTCTTCAATTCACAGGCGCCGCCTCAATGGACATGGCCGTGGGGACCAGAGAGCAGGGCGGCTGATCTACAATTAGCTTAAAGTGTTTATCGGGCCAATCGAATTCCAGACGCTGTGTTGGCTCCGTCTTGCCATCGAGCTGTGCATTCCGAAATGCCTCCATCATGCGCGGCACTAGATCATTTGGTATCAGCACCTGTATCCAATAGCCTAGTACGCCATAGGGTTCGCTCACGCTAACAGCAGCGCCCGTAACTGTTTCGGCGACCAGAGTCAAGGCCAGATGTTGCGCCTTGAACGTGAAATGTCGACCGTGTCGTATGCGATCCTGAAAAGAATAATATGCACTTGATCATTTGAGACATCGAATCTAACTCCATTTCGTATTTACCTTTATGGCCAGCAGCAAGTACTTGGCCGCATAGGGCGCGAGCGTTATTTCAATGCCATCCAACGATATGCAGTCGGGCGCCTGGGGCTGATTGTCTAGTGGACATGATTTGTGCAACGAATTGCTGCTCATCGACATGGACTGGGGGAAGCTCGGTTCCTCGCGCTTCAACTGTGACTCTGTCAACGGCCGATTGTTCTCTTCGCTGGCGCATTTGTCGTTCAGAGATTGAAAGTCTACTTCCTCCTTAATTGTTTTCGTTGGCTTCAGTTCACGGAATGTAAACTCAGCATTAACGCCAGCCAAATCAGAGCCTTGTTTCTCCAGGTCGTCTTGGAGGTTTAGCAAGGTCTCGGGAAACAATTCGAACACGCTCATAGTGCGCTGCATGTTGGTAACTAGCCATTCGCCGCCTGTCTGCACATCCTTAGCCAAGAAATTCAAGACGCCACGACCGTTCCAGCGTGAAGCCTGCTCCAGTTCCTCCTCGGTAACGCCAACTATTTGGCAAAAGTCAACTGTGCCAAACGGCGTGTCAATCGAACCCAATTGCGGATCTTGTGCTACCAGTAAGCTTTGCATTAGTGAATCGGCGCTGCCGTCCAATCCCTTGCGCCACGGAATATTGTCGCCAAAGCAAAGACCATTGCCAGTTTGAAAGCAATAACGCGCAATCGATTGAAGCAGATTTGCAGGCCAGGTGGGCGGTCTGAGTGGTTTATCCGGACATTCCCGTTCCTTGTTGAGCTCAGCCTCTGTCTTAGCCAGCCGAAAGGTTAACTCGAACCCCATGCCTGAGCGACTGCTGTGCTCTTCTTTCAGATGAACGCGCTGATCGCCATGCAGATCGCTGAGTCCGAAGCTAACATAATGCCAATGCGGTGGAATTCGCTCTGTATCGCCTTCGCCTTGCCCTTTGTTGCTGTACATGCTTATGTAGTCCAGGGGATCGGAGCCACCTAGCCAGTACTTAAGCAGTGTCGTCACTTGCAGAGGATTTGGTTGATCTGGATAAACTGATTTCAAGTGGTCAATCAAGGACTTTAGCCCAGGAGGCGGCTTAAGCTCTGAATTCTTTTCAGGATTTGTTGAGGCAGCCATAATAGTAAACTCTTGTCTTGGAAGAAAACACAAAAACAAACTAAAAATAATCGATTGTACGATCAACTGTATCGATAGTCATGCTTAGTACGCAGCTCAATGATATTGAACGAGCTTAATGCAAGCAGGCAAGATTATTGTATGTGATATTGTAATATATATTATCATTTATATATGTATATAAATGATAATATATAACGAATTCGAAAATTAAAATATTTAAGCATTTGCGCAACAAGAAACGATTTCATTTTTGCACAGGCACACCCAACACTCTGGTATTTTTCAAATTAACCAGTTTTCTATTTGGTATTAAAACGCATTGGAAACGCGGTCACACCGCACACGACACCGCGATTTTATAGGAAAAATTTGCAATACTTTGTTTTATAAACGCACAAAATGGAGCCCTATGATGTCGTAGTCAATCAGCCTGTGGTCATAGATAACGTAAGTCAAATATGCAATAAAATATCAATCAGAGCCCAACTGGAATCAATCGCCACATAAGCTACAATTAGGCTCTTTGCCACTGACAAGTGACATCACCAACTAACACGAACGAATAAGCCAAGCTGCCACTGCCCGTCCCTTTGTCCATCGACTTTTTCAGCAGTAGTCGCAACTGTTTATGTGTGGCAATGACTAATTGCCAAACCTAGACTTTTATGCCCAATTTACTGAAAGTTACCAAAAGGAGTGTACAAGAAAATAATAATGTCGCATTCAGCGCTTGAACACTGTAACCGAGTTGGGTGAGAAGTGGGCATCGATGTTAATCTTGCCACTCAGGTTCATACGTTGATTATATTTCTCCGAATACACAACCGGAGGGCGTTCCTTCACCCAAGATCCGGGCACACTGAGTGCCTCAACAGTGCGATCCGGCCGAGCGCCACACCTGCCCTGGTATTGGCAAAACTTCGCAGGACGACGCATCTTCTCAAAAGGATCACGATAATAATCCCTGTAGTTCTGGCAATCCAAGTAGAAGTAATCAACCTCGCCCAGACTTCTATAGTTGACAAACGACACCCCCGTCGGTGGTACAAATTTCAAGATTGGCTTCCGCTGAACACGCAAACTCTTCGACACGGCTAGCATATCCACGAAGGGAATGGTTCGGGTATCCATGATTTGCCCTTTTTATGAAAATGCTTAACAAAACAATTCAATAACGAACAAACTTGACGCGTGTGAAGCTAAATTTGAATGAATGCCAGTCTCTATAAAACCCTAAATGATTTCCTTTACAGGGCTCCGGTGTGATCAAAGCCGGCTTTGCTGGCGAGCACATTCCAAAGTGCAGGTTTCCCAACTAGTGAGTATTTGGTGCAATTCAGTGCAGGGCCGAATGTAGTTAATTGCTTTCATTTTAGCATTGGCAGACCAAAGCATGTTCGGGTAATGGCCGGCGCCTTGGAGGGCGACATTTTTGTTGGCCCCAAGGCGGAGGAGCATCGCGGATTGCTTAGCATACGATATCCGATGGAGCATGGCATCGTGACGGATTGGAACGATATGGAGCGCATATGGAGCTATATATATAGTAAAGTGAGTAAAGTAAATGTCTAATGACCAGCAGATGTTGCAGTAACATATATTTACTTCAGGAACAATTGGCAACGTTTACGGAAGACCATCCAGTTCTACTCACTGAAGCACCATTGAATCCGCGTCGCAATCGGGAAAAGGCCGCTGAGTTCTTTTTCGAAGGCATCAATGCGCCAGCGCTCTTTGTCTCCATGCAGGCAGTTCTCAGTCTGTAAGATCATAGTTAAACTAAACTTAAAAGTTGTATTTATACAATTTCAATGTTATTAGCTATGCCACGGGCCGTGTAACGGGCGTGGTGTTGGACTCTGGTGACGGTGTGACGCATGCAGTTCCCATTTACGAAGGATTCGCCATGCCTCACAGTATTATGCGTGTGGATATCGCTGGCCGGGATGTGACACGCTACCTGAAAACACTCATACGCCGAGAGGGCTTCAATTTCCGTTCGACAGCCGAGTTTGAGATCGTGCGGTCGATCAAGGAGAAGGTCTGCTACTTGGCGACCAATCCACAAAAGGAGGAGGCTGTGGAGACTGAAAAGTTCGCTTATAAATTGCCAGATGGCAAGACATTCGAAATTGGACAGGCTCGTTTCCGTGCGCCCGAGGTGCTCTTCCGGCCCGATCTGCTTGGCGAGGAGTGCGAGGGCATACACGATGTGCTAATGTATTCCATTGAAAAGTCGGATATGGATCTCAGAAAAATGCTCTATCAGAACATCGTGCTGTCGGGTGGTTCAACGCTTTTCAAAGGTTTCGGCGATCGTCTGCTGTCCGAGCTGAGAAAGCACTCAGCAAAGGATCTGAAAATCAGAGTAAATATATATCTGAATAATGTTTTATATAATATTATATCTGTATTTGCTTCGCTCTAGATTGCTGCACCCCAGGAACGTTTATACTCGACGTGGATGGGCGGCTCAATTCTGGCATCGCTAGATACCTTTAAAAAGATGTGGGTATCGAAGCGAGAGTTCGAGGAGGAGGGCCAACGTGCCGTGCACAGAAAGACTTTCTAGTTTGTTTAAAACCATTTAAACGCTATGTGTAAAAGGCTTATTAAACTCTGTATCAAAAATCATGTGTCAGCTAACATCAACTATCCCTTAAAAAAGAAAATTTGATTTAATTTTGCATGTGTATGTTATGCATAAATAGGCGCAAAGTATTTAAATATGCTATTTATTGAAATTTGCTTACGCAGCATATAAGAAAAAAGAAAAACAAATAAAAACTAAAAAGTATATATCAATATTTTTTTAAATTTTCAATTAATACATTCCAAGACAAATGTTGTGCTAATGTATATTAAGGTATATAGTTACGTTTACTCATTAGTCATACGCTTAGCCAGGTCTGAGCCGCTCTCTCAGTCTTTGTATCAATCTCTCTCTCTCTCCTGCGCTCTCGAGCCAGCTGCGCGCTTGGATGACGCTGTTTGGCCAAAATGAATTCAGTTGGCTTTCAGTTGTTTATTCGTTTGGTTGTGTTCCAGGCAACCATCTCTATGGCAACGGTCATAAAAGTTGTTTCTGCTGCAACTTTTTGTTAAATTTATTGTCGCGGATTGGGCAAGAATAAAAATAAAATAAACAAAGCTTCAATCGGATTTGAAGCTCTTCGCTTTGTGTCATTTGTTAAGTTCGCAAACGCAACCACGTGGAACCGCATTGGAAACTTTGCAATGGCTCAGGTGGAGGGACGAGCCGAGACGGAAGTAAGTCTAACAAAAAATATCTACAAAAACAAATCAGTTAGCCAGATTAGATTGATAGAAAACAAATTACTAAAAATCCTGTGAATTCACGCAGTGCACTTCCCTCTATTATCATTTCTACTGTAATTACCGCTAGTGCACCTTAATGATACCTGGTTAGCCTTGCACATGCATAGGTGTGTGTACATTACTGTACATATTTGTAGGTATACTACATATGTCTGTATCTACAATTCAGATGTGCTATGCCACTGAAATATTTATTCATTCCTGTTGTCGTGTCTCTTTATTGATTTTATAATTTAAAAAACAAAAATAAAACAATTACAAATTCACAATATGAAGAGCTTTATGGAAGCGTATATATCGTTCTCACTCTATATATGTATGTATGACTGTTTGCATATGCATATGTACATATACAGATGTCTATATAAGATTGTATATCCTGGTATGTAGACTCTCTGGCAATATACATATATGTACATACATATGTAAGAAACGTTTCGAACTGTTCAACAAGGTATGCACGTTTATATTGATTGGATTTGATTAAGACTCTTTGTTTATAAAATAGAATGTGTTTATAAAACTGTATATATGTATTCAGAATTATTTCTGACCTAATTGTGGAGGCAAGAGATGTAAAACAGATAAACAAATCCAGTGGGATTGGGAGTAGTCGACTAGTAGATACGCTGCAGTTAAGGCAGAGCTGTTTCTTTGTTTCTAATTAAACGATCCCAATTATATTTTTATTGATTCAACACATAAAATTTGTATATTACGGCCTACTCACCTCGATTACAATTCTTCTATATGAACTATCACTACTCAAAACTTTATTCTGATTTTCATTGTCTTTGCTCTCTGTATATGTATATAAATATGTATGTTTAATTGCTTGAAAAAGACCCCGCTTACTTCCGCGACTTAATTATAATGGTTTAAATAAGATAGATTTTGTTAACTGGAAAATATTTAAATATATGTACTCAACAACAGTTTAATTATATTGTTTAATCTTTTCTTATTTGTGCGCTAACGAGAATAAAGTAGTTTATTTGATATTTCACTTATCTCTTGCAGAGTACTGTAAAAAATGCTTGGCAGGTACGATATTTGTCAGGCATTCAATATGGATGCAATTCTTGTTTAGATGCTGTTACTTCAGTTCTATATTTGCACTCTAACTAATTGATGTCACTTGATAATTTTACTTTATCAGCAAGGTACAACTTGTAGCAGATCAATTAGAAAGAGATAAGAATCATTGAAATGCTCTAAATAGACCAGAATCATATCAGACTTAGTTCAACTCTCCACTGAATCATACACAATTTTTAAAATGGCGTCAGCAGTGTGTACAGAGAATTTCGCAACAATCCAATTAGAATCTATTCCAATTGAACTCTTTTCAGATGAAGGCAATGGACGCCAATCGCTATGCGACGAAGAAAACTATCGCCCAGGGCATGCTGGATATAGCGCTGCTGACAGCCAATGCATCTCAGCTTAAATACATACTCCAGGTCGGGGAGCAGCATCAGTTCTATAAGCTAATGCTAATACTGATTAGCTTGTCCATAGTTATGCAGGTAAATATTATTTGCACTGTCTGCCTTTGCCTTGGCTTTGGGGTTGTAACGGCTCGTTCTCCAATGTCGTAGATACTGTCTGGCATACTAAGCCTGTCCCTCAGTTTATTGCGGGACTGCCGAATGCATCAGCCAGAGTTCCATCAATCGGCCAATGTGATCAATCATGTGCGCACTGGGTTTGCGTTTTTTACCACAATGGTCAATCTTTTCATATCGGCTTTTGATTCTCGACTGCCCCCGATACAGGGCGATATTTTGAATGATGTCAATTAAAATTAATATTAATATAAAATGAACCCATCTCATCTGACTTTTTTGAGCGAAATACCCTGGACAAAATTCGTCACTCTCTAAAAAGAAACCAATTTCAATTTTAATTTTAACAGCTATTGGTTGGAATTTTGTTTGTGGCTATCGGCAGTCTGAATATAAACAAGCAGCAAGACCAGACGGCAGCAATTATATTGAACGATATCATATTGGTGATCGTCTTCGTAATATCAGTGGTAAATGTCATAATATCTGGGTTCGGTATCGAGTACTCCTCCCAGCCACTAAGACTCATCGATCAGCATGCTAAAGTACCATAGATATAGAAATGAGATTATAGAATTTAATGCAAATTGTAAAACATCAACGATATTTTATAAGGTTTCTAATAAATAATAAACGATATAAATATCATACTCTTCTTTCTCTATATGTAGGTGACAGCGGGCGTTTTACTAGTTATTCAATCTCTTGTGAGCATTGCCAAATCTAAGAATCGCTCAATACTTAATACAGTCAATCACTTTGTGGATGCGTTCATATTTCTATCTGTGTTCTGTGATATTATGAAAATGAATTTTGGTTTGGATCCAGCAATACCATATAAAGATGATCAAGTTGAACTTTTGAAAAACTGACTTATATATTTTTAAGCATTTTATAAGAACTAAAATAAAAATTTCAAATCTCATTGAGCAATTTTTATATACAAATGTATATTCAAATTTAATAAATACCGAACTTTAGCATTGTTTTCTACTTAAATGATGTGTACACACTGAATTGCAGTCAGCTGGAAAGTTATCGATAGTCGTTGAATGGAAATCCTATACTTTTCTGTTTGGCGGCATTACATTTTTGAGCTTAGTAAACATTCTCATTCTCGCTCTGCTGCTCTGATAAGTCACCAGCTGTAAAAATATCGATAGCCGATATTTATTAAATCGTAGTTTTTTGTTTAATGTGGCGTCCATGTATTCCCTTTTGGCGGCATTAACTAATGTAAAATAATTTCCTTTGAACTAAAACAAACCTAATTTAAAGAGTTTGGTAAAAAAAAGAAAAATCCACAATGTCGGACGATGACTGTGATATATTCAATATGCCAGTTAAACGGCTAAACGGTAAGTGCAAATATTTGTCTAAATAATATAAGTATAATTTATAAACCATTGGAATTCACAGCAGTGCCACAAAAGCAGTTCGCGGAGGACTGCGAAACAATCAAACAAACTGATTATGATTTTATAAAGAAGCCAGCTACCAAACCTGCCAAGCAAGCGGATCAAATAAAACCAAACCCCAAACCGAAATCGGGGAAACGAAAAAAACAAGCAAAAGATGAGGAGATATCTAAGAATAAAACGGATGAGATAAACGGCATAACTGTGGAAGAGGCGCAGGCGCCCATTGCACGCGGTGATCTCTCACCTGTTTCCCAGTTAATTCATGAAATGGAGCAAAGAAAGGAGAGGGAGAAAAACCAAGAAATGGGATCTTTGCCCGTGGCCAGGCGCACGCGTTCGTCCCTGGGCAAACGACAGCCCACGCCAGAAAAGAACAAAGATGAATTGGAAACTTCAGTACTTCCAGCTGTCGAGGCGGTGGATCCACCCAACAAACGTCGGGGACGTGGACGTGGGCGTGAAAGCGGCCGTGGCCGTGGAAAAAAAGCCCCATCGCAGAATGTAGACACGAGTAGCTCAACGGCTCCGAGTAGCATATTTGAGCCACCTAGAAGGAATCGGAGGCAGGCAGCTGAAGCTGCGGCTTATTCCCGAGTCGTGGACTCCATTGATCTGGTTTCAGCAGTTGCTCCACGCGTGGAAGGATTTGTAAGTAAGCAATGATCTACATTGAATGTGTTTCTATAGATATATATCTTTTAAAAAATAGATAAATTTAGACTCAGATGAGGAGAAGGCAATGAGTCCCGCAGAGCATGATGAGCCCACTGAGCATGATGAGCCCGCAGAGCACGCCAAAGCAGCACCAAGCTTCGATGATGATAATCCCGTTATTGATATCAATTTAAATTGGTATGCAGTCATTGGGAATTTTACCTCATCAAATATTCATCATTATTTTCCTTTTAGGCTCGGTGATATGCAAGTATATAAGCTAAGGCAATACCAAAAGTTTGCGCACATGTTCAAGGAAGTTTCGAAACGCAATGAGGTACCCCTGGACGAAGTTGTTATAAACATGGATGATGTTTTTTTAAACGAAATGGACTCGCCACACAGCGTCGGTCTAAGAGGCTTCCACATATTAAGTAAGTGAAGTAATATAAATATACTTTTTCTATAATATATCTTTATTTTTCCTAGGTGGCCGCGCAATGAAGTCGCATAAAAGTCAAATAAGGGAAGAAGTTAATCCAAAGCCAAAGAAATTCCAATTGAAAATACAAAGTGATAAATGGAAGCAGCCATTGATAATTCCTATGAAAAAAACAGAAACATTTAAGATACTGTACATCAAATGTGCCGAACATTTAGAATGTGATGTTCAGGACTTCAAGTTGTTGTACGACTTAATAACTTTCTTAATATTTGCCTTTTATATTTTATGTTCTTTGCTTTTTAGTTTTGATGGCGAGTTACTGGAATTTGATGATACGCCCAAGGATCAAGACATGGAAGGCAATGAAATAATTGATTATCGTTCAAAGTGATGGAATCTCCGTTTGGTATATTAGAATTTAGTATTGTTGCAGTTAAATTACCTATAAAGTAAGATTTAATTATGTTCTTTACAATATGTTAAAATAAATGCAAGTCTTTGTGTAATGTTTTAAGACTAGTGTTAAAACCCCGGAAGACTTCTCATTTGGCAACTTGCAAATGCTCAACTCTAACTTTTGGTTAGATTTGAAAGTAAGTCAAGCTGCTGCTGTTAGGATAAGAGCTCTTAAAGCAGTGTACAACACCCTATGATTTCTTTGCACACCCTTAATATTTTGTTTATCTAGCATAGAGCGTTATATCTAAACACCAACACACACACACACCTACCTAGAGCCCGGCCGGAACAAAACAAAATTATTGTTGATATGCTGCTTAGCAGATGATGTTTATTGCGGAGGGTGGTCTATGGTGGTTGTTGGCCCACACTGCCGGCTATTGCTCTCAGTGTTTTCTGCATCTTACTCTCACACTCTCTCTCTCTCTCTTTCTTTGTCTCTCTGCTGTGCAGTTTCCCATGGAATTTCAGAGCAGAAATTGTGACACAGGATAATAGGAAAGTTTTGCTGGCGCAGCTTTTGCGAGCGCAAAAAATCAAAAGCTCTCTTCGATTTTGGTCAGCTGCCCGTTGTTAGGCGACTCGACGCGAACAGAACGAGTTTATCCTTCGTGCTAAATAGTCGCATTTGGTTCGCGTTTCTGCATTAAATAATCAAAAACAATATAAAACAGTTGTCGAACACTTTATTTATTTACCATAAGAACGCTACCGAAATCAAGTGTGTTTCCTGTCTTCGTTGCCGGTGTTTTTTTTTTGTGTTGCCCCGTGCTCGGTTTATTAAGAAATATCACCAAAACAAATACGCATATACTACTGCTTCCTTATCATATACACATTTATACTATATACAATTTCCACGACTTGGCGCCCAAAATAGGATTCAATGCAAACAAAGGATTTTGTGAAGTCTTCAGATTGAATAAGGTGAGAAACACATTTGGAAACACATGTTATACTCGTATATATGTACTTATATACACATACATATATAAGTATATGTGTATTTGTTCAGCAGTAGATTGTTTGTCAGCTGCCCGAAGGCAGTGACAAATGTGTTTATCATGTTGGCTTTGCAATGCGAGCACGTTAATTGACATGCCCCAGACACAGAAAGTCAACTTGTAACCACAGGAGCAGCATGTATACAAGCGTGAGTGTGTGCTTGTGAGTGTGTGAGTGTCCTTTAATAATTGATGGCAATTGCTGGCATTAATATTTAAGCATGTTAGGCATTCTGCATGCTCATAAACATGCATATCACACAGAATTTTAACCAACAATTGAGTACCCTTGGCTGGGGCTAAAAATAAAACGTGACACCTGCGAAAAAATGTTGCCCAGTGCGTGGCTAAAGCCAAACGTTGAATTCAGCTCGAGGTCAGCTAGCTGACCAACCACCCAGTCAACCAGCCACTCCACCACCCCAACGCCCAGCACCCAGTTCCCTCTCCACGAACGGAGCTAATGGCATTGAGAGCACACGCAAAACGAGTTAAGGGATTCAATCCCGAATAGCACTCAGAGGACTACACTGATTGCCACCCATCGAATGGTCTCGATTGGCCTTCGATTTTCAGCAACAGCTAAAGCCAACAAAAAAAATGCATTTCCTCTCCAAATGGCCTTCAAATATATGTCTGTCTACATGTGTGTGTGTGTGTGTTAAATGCCTTTAAAGCTCTCCCAGCGCAGAGCTTTAATGTTACACCTGATGAGGCTACTTTGCTGGCAGTCGAGTTTCAGTTAAAACACTAATTACAAATGCCTTAAGTCTCATATATGTATATATTTATATTGTATAAATGATTTGTTACATTATTATTCTAAATTATGTACATATTTGCATATAGAGTCTGCACTCTTTCAACTCTTTCGCATCAAGGCACGCGAGAGCAATTTAATGTTTATTCTCATGGGTCACATTCGTAAACGTTTTACGGGCAGCAGAGCTTTTGACTTAAACACGAAATAAATGTATTCACATTTTATGGGCCACATATCATTTCATTTGAGTAAATATGTTACAGGCTATCCTAAAGTCCACAATTCTTGATTATTCTCGGCTTCCTGTTTGCCTAATTCGAGTTAACTTTAGTTTTACAATGAATATAGTTAACAGAGCACACCCAACGTATTACCTTTGCCAGCTAAACAACCTTTTTATGCAGGGTGTCTTCAATGCCATCAGCACGAGTTTTTCTGTTTCATTTTTCAGTTTTTCATCCTGTCGCGGCGGACCGGAAGTAAAATAACAAATGACACTTCGGGGCACAATTTGCGCACGTGTCGCATAGACCAAACACACACACACACGCACGCATACACACACACATACACTGGCTATTTTCAGTTGCATTGTCTTTTGAGCCTAGGCCAACCTTCAAAGCCACAAACTTTTTTGTATGCAACGAACGCAACAAGCAAAAAAACAAAACAAAAAAAAAAAGGAAAAAGGAAAAACAATAACAAACACAACAAAAAGAGTGAAAAAGCGAAAAAGCAAAACAAAACATGCTGACGCCATTTTGCCATTAATTCCGGCCACTTTATGGCCAGTCCAAAAACAAACTGAACCCTAACCGTCT